CCATTCATTGTACCCACCCTCTCCCCCCCTCTCTCTCACGCACGCACGCACGCACGCACGCACGCACGCACGCATTCATTCACAAGATAGTATATATTTTTTCTATAGATAGTATATATTTTTTCTATAGATATAATAGTATATATTTTTTATGTAAAGAGAAATTATAATGTACAAAACCCTTTGTTTATTATTTTATTAATAAATGTAATCTAAGGTATTTCCCTGTCTTTTATTAATATCACCTCTCGCATTCACTTCCCTTGAATACCTGAGATCGCACGAGGTCCAGTCCTGGGTCAAAGGGATTAAGTTCCTTGACCGAAAAAGTAGGAACGACGTATTCGCACTGTCCAGTGGAACAGGTGTCATAGCGTCCCTTCGGACGTTGACCCACATTCCAGGACTTAAAAGGTGCGTACGACTCACAGATGTTCGCCTCCGCGCGTATATCTGTGAGGTTGAGTCTGACTGTCCTTCCATACTCTCCCCATTCTCCCTCATTGTCTCCTTGACCAAATTTTCAAGGAAGGTTTGGACGTAACAATATAGCTGACAATTAAATTCAATCGTCGTGTGATATTATTATATATAAATGTGTTCTTTCACCATGTGAAGGTGCCTCGCACAATAATGTTACACCGCCAATTGTCATATTACGAAAAGTGTAGAACGAGAATTTCCAGATTCTAATTTAACAAATTTACGTATCATTGATATCTTCTAATCGAAATGTGTGAGAATAGAATCGTTACCTGTTTTACAGCAAAAAAATAATCATGAATCTCAAGTACATCCTTTGCACAGATGGCAATTTGTCGTGACATTGTGTGTGACATTATTTGTCATATCATATATATTATCACTATTTATATATATAATATAATATAAGTCAAAAGTTTAGAAAATTCTAGAATTATTTATTGAGTGTGAGAGAGATCTTTCTTAAGAAGAGGCAAATAAACATAAAAGGCAAACCTTCAGTGTCACTTTGCTTATT